AGTACTGAAAATTAAAGACATCCCAGCTGAGGAAATGGTTAGAGACAAACTCCAAGAGGAAACAGAATCTGTCACTGAATATAATGTTGAAGCAGAGAAGGAAACCAAACTACAAGCAGCTTCTGTGGAAACTGAAGATGCTGAAGAACCAAAAATGTTAGAAACCGAACAAACATTAGATTCAGAGGATGGCAGTGCTCAATTGCTTGAAAATGAGGCAATAAGTGAACGTACTCCAGCAGAAGAAATGGCTACAGACAAACGACAAGAGGAGAAAGTGCCTCTCACTGAAAATAATGTTGAGACAGAGACAGAGACAGAAAGCACATTACAAGATTCTGTCAAAACTGAACATGCTGAAGAACCAGAAGCATCAGTCACACTAGATTCAGAGGAGGGCAGCATTCAATTGCTTGAAAAGAAAGTAACCTCAGACAATATTCCAGCAGAAGAAGCAGCTGCAGACAAAGAGGACACCAAGTCTCTCACTGAATGTAATGTTGAGACAGAGACAGAAAGCAAATTACAAGAAGATTCTGTCAAAACGGAACATGCTGAAGAACCAGAAGCGATAGAACCTGAACAAACAGCCTCTTTAGATTCAGAGGAAGGTAGTGCTCAATTGCATGAAAAGCAGGTCATATCAGAAGTTACTCCAGCAGAAGAAACAGTTACAGACACACCACAGGAGAAAACGGACCCTGCCAAAGGACATGTTGAAACAGAGAATGAAAGCAAACTGCAAGCTGATTCTGGCAAAACTGAACATGCTGAAGAACCAGAAGCGTTAGTCACATTAGATTCAGAGGAGGGCAGCATTCAATTGCTTGAAAAGAAAGTAACATTAGACGATATTCCAGCAGAAGAAGCAGCTGCAGACAAAGAGGACACCAAGTCTCTCACTGAATGTAATGTTGAGGAAGAAACAGAACATAAACTACAAGCCGATGCTGCCAAAACTGAACATGCTGAAGAACCAGAAGCATTAGAAGCTGAGCAAACAGCCTCATTAGATTCAGAGGAGGGTGGTGTTCAATCACCTGAAAAGGAGGAAACAAGAGAAGAGATTCCAGCAGAAACAACAGCTACAGACAAACCCAAAGGGGAAACAGAGCCTGGTACCGAATGTAATGTTGAAGCAGAGGAGGAAACCAAACTAGAAGCAGATTCTGCTAAAACTGAACATGCCAAAGAAGTAGTTGCATTAGAAAAAACACAAGCAGCCTCATTAGATGCAGAGGACAGTGTTCAATTACCACAAGAGGAAGTATCAGAGGACATTAATGCAGCAGAAACTGTTACAGAAGAAACAAAACAACAGGCAACAGAAAACCAAGTTGACCCCAGAGAGCCAGAAAACAAAGAACTGAAAACAGATACCCCAAATATTGAACACCACAAAGTTCCAGAGGTTTCAGGGGCTGTACAAGTATCCAAATTAGATTCAGAGGAGGGTAGTGTTCAATCTCTTGAAATAGAAGTTACGCCAGAGACCACTATAGAGGCAGAAACTATTACAGATGAACCAAAAGAGGAGACAGAGCCTCTCACTGAAGTCATTGAACCGGTGGATGCTTTTAAAACTGAACATGTTCAAGAACCAGTTCAAGAACCAGTATTAGAAGATGCACAAGCAGCAATGCTAGATTCAGAAGAGGGTAGTGCCCAATCACTTGAAAAGGAAGTGATTTCCGAACAGATTCCACCAGAAGAAACTGTTGCACATGAAGTAGCACGTGCAGCTGAAGGCAGTGCAGAGTCAGAACTATCGGGAGAGGATGCCAAGACTGAACATGTTCAAGAACCAGAGGTATTACCTGCTGATGTAAATGACACTGCAACTGAAACAGAACCTGAGGTAGAGGCATCAACGCCTGCTCATGTAGTCCAACAAGGTTCTGAGGAAAGTAGCGCTCCCAATCCAGAACCCACTGATTCAGTGACAGTTGAAGGTGAGACTAAAGTTGTGGCAGATCTGAATCAGGATTTAAGCAGAAATGAAGATCAGGAAGCGGAGAGTACACCACAAGATGTTCATGTTGGCCAGGAAGACCAAATCCCTGAAGCTGTAGATGAGATACAGACAATAACAGCAGTTCATGTATCCTCTGTTAATAATGAAGCAAGTAGTGCTCAGGTCAGTGAAATAAATGTATTTTCTGAAGTAACCCCGACACCTTGTGTAGAAAATGTCACAGTTTCACTTGAACCAATTCACGAGGTGCATCTCAGTTCAGTGCAATCCAGTGTTGAGGAAGAAAGAGGTCAAATTCGAGGTTTGGAGGTAAAGAGTGCTCCAGTGCAGCATGCTATAGTTGCCCAAGTGATTACATGTTATCTAAAAGACAATGCAGCTGCGATACCTGACACTTTGATAGAGACGACATCAGACAGTTGTGAACCATTGATCGACTCTGTGGCAAGTGAGCTCGGGTTCAATGAGACGAATGAGACTACAACACCATTAGTGAAAAACTATGTGACGAAGACGGGCGAGGAAGGTAGTGTGGTTAAAATGATGAATGTGCCATCGGTACAGTTTGAGGATAATCATAGAATTCAAGTGCAGGTGGTTGATGTTGATGTCAAATCAGCCACGATGATTGTTGACACAGTGCTAGAGGTAGGAGTAACAGAAACCAAAGAAGTTATGGATATGTGTCACGAAACAGTTAAAGAAGTAGACAAACTTTCTGCCACATTGGACAGTGAAGAGATAATAAGGAGCGAAGAAAAAGAAGTGACCATTCAAGAAGTTATTCAACATGTAAGGGAGAACTTACCAGAGACAGTACCTGAATCAGAACTCGTCAACACGGATGTTGTGGCTGAGAAAACTGAGATACCTGAAAGTGAGTCAAGTGAAGTGGAGGATCAAAAAGTGGTGGAGGATGATATTGTAACATGCAAAGAAAGACAAGATGAAGGATGTGATGTCAAAAATGATGACTCCACAAAAGGGTTTGAGAACCTCATGCAAACGCCTGATATTCCAGAAAGGTTGGATGTTTTGATCCATGATCCCAAAGAGGATTTAGAGAAGCCTGAAGCTGAAGTGAAAAAGTCTGAAGCAGATGTCTCGACGACAGATGTGAAGAAAAAAAATGAGGAAGCACTAACTCCACAAATTGAGATTGTAACGGCGAACACTGGATTAGTCGTCCCCCAAAACACTGGAATGATTTCATCAGTAGGTAATGTCGAGCCCCCCTCTAGCCTTTCGATAGAATTCAAATTTAACATACAGTTTGGACACGCAAAGGAACCGGCTTCTCCACCACCGTCAACAGAGAGAACTGAACCAATGAAACAGACAGTGGTGGCTGAGGTATGCGAGGTAGTAGAACCCAAAGAAGAGATAAATCCAGCACATTCTGAAGAGAGACAGAAACAGACAGAGGTGACTGAGGTCACAGTTCAGGGAACAGAAGTCACACAAGCAGCAAACTTAGATTCTACAGAAAGCCCAGTGATCATAAATCAACCAGTTCTTCTGGATGTTGGAATGCAAACAGTGGAAATAGTGGAACCAGTAGATCAAATTAAATCAACAGAGAGAGGAACCCCCAATGTCCAGGTGAAAGAAATGATCCAAACAGTGAGGCAAAAAGAGAAAAGAGGAGTGTTCCTGAGTCAGCCACTACTCTCTGAAGTGTGTGAACAAGAAACCAAAGCAGAAGAACCTGTCAAACACACAGAGGAGGAAAATGACCAGGATGTGTGGATGGATGCTGAGGAGGACATCAACAATCAAGAGGAAACAGAGATGTCCCTTCACGAGGTGCAGGAGCCTCCAGAACATCAGGCAATAAGTGACCAGGAGGAAACAGTTGCACTTGAAGCTGCGCAGGAGTTTGAAATGGCTGATTCCAGGATTGAAGGAGAAGAAAGTCAAGGGGAGACGCTTGAAAAAAGAGAAACATGTGAAACTGAGAGCGAAGGTGAAGATTTTGCTGTTGCACTTGAGGATCCAGAAAATGCTACTGCAAACATCACGACGATGGAGTGGGATTAAACCTGTGTCGATGACTGGTAAGTCTTGCATTTTGTTGTTGTAGCATCAATTTAAGAATTATCCAGCCTGAGAACGTCCTTGAAATCATCATATTCACTGAATTATGTGTATTCATTCATACCATCCCTTTTTCCATAGAGTTGGACAATCAAAAAAGAAGATTCTAAGGAGCCGAGCCAGAGAAGACCTGACTGGTGGAAGAAACTACATGACACATGTTTGGGGTTTTTTTTGTGGCATGTCTGCTTTTATTTGTACAGTCCTGGTGAAGGTGGGTATGCACTTATGGGTGAGCTAATGGTGCAGCCCAACATTTTGTTACTGGGTAAATGCGTCTCTTCTCAGGGGAGGGGGGTTACGTGATTTGCTGTGTAGTGCAATTTGGAATACCGATAGAATAGAATGAATATGTCTGGGAGAGTATGGCGGTATTTCTTATTGAAAATCTGTTGTTTTTATGGTAAATTGCTTCGACAACATCTGTTAAAAACAGAATTCATAATGTACGTCACAGGTAC